AAAAATGGGACTGGGAAAAAAATAAAGGCAAGATGGCACATAAATCCCACACGTGTCCACAGGGCGCGTATTCTATAAGGGCAGAAAACTGCACTTCATCACCTCACGACGTATGAGACGTGGCATCTCCCGATCTGAAGGCCCCGCCGCTCGCTGCTGCCTCTCGTCGTCTCCCTCTGAAAAAGGCACCCACTCAAGTGACTTGCGATGCCGAGAGCCGACTTGTTTAGATGACTCCCGAGGACGTATCTGTAAAGAAGAGCAAACATGCAGTATTAATGAGGGCAATGAACTATTCATACTGCATGTGGCTTCAATACGCTCGGATAAAGTACACACAAGTACACAAGGTTACGCTCCGTGGAAACAAGGTTAAATGTTTGTTGTTTTTGAATAGTTATGACGGAATAAATGCAAAGGAACAAACCAGTCATTTTTGCATTGCTGTTTAAAGGTTAAGTCTTTAACAAATACCCATTTCCTGTAGCTGTGAAAACACAAAACGGAACTTTTAACTAGTGATGCTCAAAGTGGGAGGCGGGGCTCCCTCGTGAGCACAGCAATTTCTGTAAGGTACAACCGTGTATTCTTTAACCACGAAGCCACCACCGCCCCAAGAACCTGTAGAATGACAATAAAGGAATGCTAACCGGATGCTAAATGCTAGCATTTTAGCATATTCAGTCACTGAAAAACACATTCAAAAACATTCTTTCTTTTGATTCAAAGCAGCCACATGTGACCTGTAAACAACGGTAATTATCGCTTGGCAGCGGCGACGTCTCCCGCTACACACTGTATCTGTATCCTAAAAAAAAAATCCACTCCAACCAACGCTTCCATCAAACATTACTCTCTACTGACACCGTTTGAACCCTGTGCACAGACGTTAATTAAACTTCATGCGGATTTCCTCTGGATTAAGACGAGAGCAGGTGTTTTCACTCAGCCACACCTGCAAACTTTCCTCTCCTATCTATTTCCCAGCGGCCTGTGTGTGTATGTGCAATA